TTTTGCCATGTGTTTCTGATCCGCCCCGAGGGCTCCCTATGGAGTTTGCGATGATGCGCATACTGTGAAGGGGGGGGGAACAACAGCACGGAGTCGGGATGGCCTGACCAGACCATCCCGACGCCATGAGAGCGTGCCGGAGCGATCAGACGGGGGAAAGTCCGTGGCCCGTCACAACCCGTTCACTCCCGGATTTTCCCCAGTGTCTTTTAACTCCGCTTCTGTGGCGGAGCAGAACGGGTTGCCGACGGCTGCAGGGTGCCTCCCAGATGTTGTTGTCTGATTGCGCCCTTTAAATCTGCCTGGCATTCGCGCCTATGTTGGGTTCAACGTTGTGTATGATCGCAGCCCACGATGAGCTCAGCCACAAAATGGCTGCTGCAGGAGGCGTAAAAAGGTAAAGGTTCCCTTGCTCGAAAGCCAGTCGAGTTGGACTCTAGGGTTGCGGTGCTCATCTCCTTTTCAAAGCCGAAGAGCCAGCACTGTCCGAAGACGTTTCCGTGGTCATGTGGCCGGCATGACTAAACACCAAGGCGCACGGAACGCTGTTCCCTTCCCACCGAAGTGGTACCTATTTATCTACTTGCAATTTCTTGCTTTCGAACTGCTAGGTTGGCAGGAGCTGGAACTAGAGACGGGCGCTCACTCCGCCGTGCGGCACCCGGGTCTTGAACTGCTGAACTACCGACCTTTCACAGCCTGCAGTTCAGCGTCTTAACCACTTGACCACTTGAGCCACCGCAGAGCAGGAGGCGTAGCCAGCTACAAAATGGCTGCCGCGGCTCCCCTTCCGTTATCCTTCTGCTTTGGTGACAGCTGCTGCCAAAGCAACGTTTTTAAAAACCGGCACAGCCAATCAAATTCGCAGTGCCCAGACACCAGGGATGGTTATTTGCCTCGCCTGCCGATCATTTTCTGCTGGGCCAGGCCGAAACTTCCAGAGGCATTTGGAGGTGGGGTTGTGGGGAGGGCGCAGGGAGAATGGGACGCTGTCGCTAAAGGGAGGGTGATGATCTTGCCCATTCTGGAATCTCATCCCCTGTCCCAGGACTTACGGCAAGCCGGAGGGCACAAAGCTGAAAGAGAAGGAAATAAAGCAGTTAGGGCACACTCAACATCCTTTACACGCTCTCCATTAGAAATCGGGGGGGGCGGCATTGTGAAGATGGGCCCCCAATGCAAGTGGCAAAGGAGAAGAGTTCCTGCCCCTTCCCCGAATAGAGACAGATCCCCCCCCTCTGTTATTTGACACACACGCACACCTCACGGCAAATTTCCAAAGAGAGAAGGGCTAGGCCAACCACACCTGGACACCGTCTCTCCCACCATCCCGGACGTGCGAGGTTACACGTGTGGCAGGGAAAGGCCCTCTGCCCATGCTCAGAAGCACTCGCCTCCTCTTTCATAACAATGGTTCACATCTTCCAACAAGCCCTGCACCAAATGGAGCCCCAACTATATTTGCGCAGCCTTGTTGTCACTGACCTTCTCTGCTCTGCTCGGGCATCTTCACCTCGTGGAGCCAGTCCCAGAACTTTGGAAAGTCTTCCAGGCTTTGATTTATTTCTGAAAAGGAGAGGAAAGCCTCACTGTCGCCCACTTCTGGACAAATGCCCTGTTTTTTCTCCTACCCTTGTTCAACCCCTCTCAGCCCATAAATCGTTTGCTACAATCACTAGTCCCCCAAACTCTCACAACACAAGAACTCAGTGGGCACTCCATGAAATTGCTGAGCAGTCGGGTTAGAAGGGATAAAAGGAAGTCCTTCTTCACCCAAAGAGTGATGAACACTTGGGATTCACTGCCACAGGAGGTGGCGGTGGCTACAAGCATGGATGGCTTGAAGAGGGAATTGGATAAGCATATGGAGCAGAGGTCCATTAGTGGCTGTTAGCCACAAGGTATAGATAGGAACTCTCAGTCCGGGGCAAGTGAAGCTCTGTATTCTTGGTGCTGGGGAGGTGGGCAACAGTGGGAGGGCTTCTAGCGCCCTGGCCCCACTGCTGGACCTCCTGATGGCACCTGGTATTTTTGGCCACTGTGTGACACAGAGTGTTGGACTGGATGGGCCACTGGCCTGGTCCAACGCTGGCTTCTCTTATGTTCTTACACTGAGAGACTCACCGATAACACGAAAGACTCGGTGTGTTTTTTCCAGAATCAGATCCAAGGCAAGCTCATCTGCAGACAGAGAGAGCAAAGGACAGAGAAGGAGACAAGGTTACCAACCTCCAGATGGGGCCTAGAGATCTCCCAGAATCACAACAGAAACGATACTTTCAGGTGGGTGGCGGTGCTGAAGAGCTAGATAGGAGTCCAAGAGCACAAGATTTTCGGGGAATGAGATTCTGAGATCTTAAGCACTGGGAGCTTGGAGGACTCTCAAAAGTTTATCCCCCGCCCCCCAGCCCAATTCTTGTTGGTCTCTAAAGATCTAGTGAAGAGGAGGGCGAGTGGAGCTTTGCCTAGGGGAGTGCTGGGTTCCAATCCTCGTCGGGCCAGTCTCAAACCCAGGACACCCACCCGCCCCTTTCTCCACCTCCAGCCGCTCCCCAGAGAACCCAGGCGTCCTGGGTGGTCTACCTAGAGCAAAGCCTTGGAACGATTTCCTCCCCCAGGGGTAGCGGGTACAATTCTGCCGGCCGCCATGTTCGCGGTATTGTGCGCAGAGGCGGGCAAAACGGCTCTTCAGGTTCTTGAACTGCGGCCGGCAAGGGAGGCAGCCGTCGGCTTCCAGGCACCCGGTGGCCAGGGTGAGAAGCAGGAGGGTGGCGGAGGCGGGGGGCCTCCAGAGGACCTCTTGGGGGGCGAAAGCGGTAGAGGCCATGGGGAAGGCTGCCGGCTCTTCAGAACCAAGAGAGTTGTGGGTGTGGCCTTGGCAGTATTCTGGAGACTGTTTCCCGTCTGGGGCCGGGTTCTAAGAGGTCCCCCTAAGCAACAGTTCCACGGCCCCAAGGTTCTGTTCTTAAAGGGGCAGTCCTAGGCCTGCCAGCCTCCAGGTGGGGCCTGGGGACCTCCCAGACCTCCCTTCCACTGAGGGTTACCGTTCCCTCGATGGGGGCAAGTGTTCCCCCAATTTTTTGGGGCCCCCAATCTGCCACTGCCCAGCCCCAGTGTGAGCTAGCTCACAGTTCTTTAGCCTCCAGCTCTCACATTTTTGCCTTAGCTCAGGAAGGAGGGCTCCAGAGCAAACTGATTTAGGCAGTAGACAAATTGCTGGCTCACAACTTTAGTGCCAGGAGCTCACAAAGTAGACTTTTTGCTCACAGGACTCCACAGCTTAGAGGGAGCACTGGTCCCTGTCCTCCGCAGGCCCCACACCCCCAAATCTCCCAGAGTTTCCCAGCCTGGATACAGCAAAAAAAAACCCCCCATCCCCTGCTGGTGGCCAGGGGCGACCGAGGGACCCTATAGGTTTTGGGTGGGGTTACCAGCCTCCAGATCTCCCAGAACTGCAATGGGTCTCCAGGTTACAGAGATCAGTTTTCCCTGGAGGGAATGGACGTTTTGGAGGGTAGACCCTGTAGAACAGGGGTGGCCGAACTTGCTTAATGTAAGAGCCATATAGAATAAACGTCAGATGTTTGGCAGCTGCAAGACATGAACAAATATTACATGCTTTTACTGGGAAATATGCACATTTGCTTTTTATTAACATTAAGAAGAAGAAGAAGAAGAAGAAGAGATTGGATTTATACCCTGCCCTTCAGTCCTCAAAGGAGTCTCAGGGTGGCTTGCAATCTCCTCACCTTTCCCCTCCCCACAACAGACACCCTGTGAGGTAGGTGGGGCTGAGAGAGCTCCGAGAGAACTGCCCTTGAGAGAACAGCTCTGAAAGAACCTATGACTGACCCAAGGTCATCCAGCCAGGTGCGAGTGGAAGAGTGGGGAATCAAACCCGGTTCTCACAGATTAGAGTCTGTGCACTTAACCACTACACCAAACTGGTACGACAGTTGCTTTCGACACTTTGGCAGAAGACCTTTTCTGTGGGGGGAGGGGAGGGTTGATTCACCTGGATATCTTGGTGGCTTTTCGACTGAGCACCTTGGCAAGAGAGGGCACAGGGCACTGGAGGTTCTACCTGCCTTGGAGGGCAAGTTCCTGAAGGTGGTACTTGGGGGACTGGTCCGCGTACATAGAATCATAGAATGTTAGAGTTGGAAGGGACCTTGCAGGTCATCTTGTCCAACCCCCTGCACTCTGCAGGACCAAGCTGAAAAATAGCCCTACATGCCTACAACATACCTGAAAGATGGTCGTCCAGCCTACGCTTGAAAATGTCCAACGAAGGAGCCTCCACCACCTTCCGAGGCAGACTGTTCCACTGCTCAACCACTCTTACAGTTAGGAAGTCTCCCCTGATATTTAGCCGGTAACGACTCCCTTGTAATTTCCACCCATTAGACCTAGTCTTGCAATCCGGAGCAAGAGAGAATACATCTGCTCCATCTTCTACATGACAGCCTTTCAAATACTTGAAGACTGAAATCATGTCCCTACTAAGCCTTCTCTTTCCCAGGCAGGCTAAACAGACCCAACTCTTTCAACCTTTCCTCATAAGACTTGGATTCCAACCCTCTCACCATCTTGGTTGCCCTCTTCTGGACACACTCGAGCTTGTCAACATCCTTCCTAAAATGTGGTGCCCAAAACTGGACACAGGACTCCAGGTGAGGCCTGACCATAGCAGAATAGAGCGGAACTACCACCTACCGTGATCTGGACACAAGGCTTCTGTTCATGCATCCTAAAATGGCATTCGCTTTCTTCGCAGCCACATTGCACTGCAGGCCCATGTTTAGCTTGTGATCAACCAGAACACCCAGATCCCTTTCACACGTGCTGCTGTCAAGCCAAGTCCCTCCCACTCTATATCTGTGCCTTTGATTTTTTGTACCTAAGTGTAGGACTTTGCACTTCTATTGAAATTCATTTTATTTGTCTCAGCCCACTGTTCCAGCCTATCTAGATCATTTTGAATCCTGACTCTGTCTTCTTCAGAATTAGCAATCCCACCCAGCTTCGTGTCATCTGCAAATTTGATAAGCATCACCTCTATGTCTTCCTCCAGGTCATTTATAAAAACATTGAACAACACCGGGCCTAGGACCGAACCCGGCAGCACTCCTCTCAAGACTTCCTCCCTCCATGTAGACGCAGAGCCATTTACGAGCACTCGTTGGGTACGATTTTTCAACCAACCATAACAGGGACTGTCGAGTGGCGCCCGAACAATTGCAGCATGGAGTTCTGCTGGGGTCTCTTCTGTCCTCCGTGCTTTTGAGGACTGAAGCCGTCCCAGTCTCAGCCCAGGTTATCTGGAGGCCCAGCTTTCCCCGGAGGGTCCCAGTCAGATCTTCGGGAGCGGTCCATCCTTCCCATCACCAGAGATCAGGCAGGAGCTGAGACTGCCGTAGGACCAGAGATCTGCCCCCTTCAAATTTCTCCTGGTGCCTCCCAGGACGGTGTTTGGGCCCTGGGAGGAAACGAAGCTGCTTCCTTTGGCTTTCAAGCAAGTCGCTTGCTGGATTGTTCATGTGCTAGAATCTCAGCTGCAAATTACAGGTTTTATATATAGAGTCCAGCGGCACGCACACGAACGCTTCTACCCAGAATAGAACTTGGTCAGTCTTAAAGGTGCCACTGGACTCAAACTTGGTTCTGCTGCTTCAGAACGACACGGCAGGTGACTGACCCACCAGAATCTAGGTTTTATATTTGTGTTCATTTATTTAAACACTGGTGTCCTGCCTTTTCTCGTGGTCCGAGGCAGCTTACAATAATAACTGACAAAACATTTTCGATTAAAGCCCAAATAAAATAACAAACCCCAAATCTCTCCCTCCCCCCCTTCAAAGATGCCTGCCGCTGAAACCCCTTCAAGGGCCCTGGCAGATAGGCAGGCACTGTCGTGACCCCCTGAAGATCTCCTAGGAGGGGACCCCTCTCAGCTCTTCAGGGAGCCCCTTCCACAGAGCTGGAGTCACAGCAGAAAAGGCTGTATGCACCCCCCTGAGTGGTGGGACAGCCAACAGACGTATGTGTGGACTCTAATCTGGGAGAACCGGGTCTGATTCCCCACTCCTCCACTTGCAGCTGCTGGATGACCTTGGGCAAGCCATAGTTCTGTCAGAGCTGTTCTCTCAAGGACAGTTCTGGAGAGAGCTCTCTCAGCTCCACCTACCTCACAGGGTGTCTGTTGTGGGGAGGGGAAGGGAAAGGAGGTTGTCAGCCGCTCTGAGACTCCCAGTGAAGGGTGGGGGATAAATCCAATCTCCTCCTCTTCTTCTCCTCCTCCTCCTCCTTCTGCCTGAGGACTGCAGTTGGAACACAGGGGCATGTGGGAGGAGACAGGCTTTCAAATATGTGGGCCGTGGCTTGCAAACGTCTTCAAAGGTCATAACCAGAGTTTTGTAGCATTTTAATGTAATTTTATGTGGCTTGATATCCTTTTGTGAGTTACCTCAAGACACAGGGAAAGCAGGATCAAAAGTATTTAAATGTATTGATTAATCAACAAAGCCAAAACATTACATGCAACTTTGGGAATAGGGGGATTTTAAAAAATCACATCAGTACAAAACTGGGCAGATTGTTAAAGTAATGAAAAATTAGCCTGGGACTGTCCAGGTTTCTTCTTCGGTCCAAAATGTGTCTTAGACCTAATCAGAATATTGCCATACTCTGCTTGGCACACCCAGAGATCTTCTGTGCCTGGAAGAGGGATGCTCAAAAAGATTTGTCCTGGAAATCTTTGCTATTTAGAGTTGAGGGTACACATTTTTTTTGGTATTTTTGCATTTGTGTGTGTGTGTGTGTGTGTGCCCAATATGCCTGGAAGTCACGGCGACCTCTGGTGACTCCTACTGGGGCACGGAGGGCGTTCAGTGAGGTGGCTTGATCGCCTGCCTCTAGCCTCCTGGCCCTGGTATTCCTTGGAGGTCTCCCATCCAAATATTTGCCAGGGTCAGCCCTCCTTAGCTTCCAAGATCTGATGAGATTGGGTTTGCCTAGGTTACCCAGGTCAGGGTAAGGGTACGATTTCTTAAAATCTGCTTTGTTGTTTTTGTGCAGTCGCACAGTCGAGTCCGACTGTTCGCGACCCCATGGACCAGATCACGACAGGCCGACCCCATGGACCAGATCACGACAGGCCTTCTTGTCTTCCACCGTCCTCTG